ATGGGCTGAATTGCACAAAACGCATGATCGCACCGGTTAGTCTGGTGCGCGTTGCCATTTATTATTATAACTTTCTATTAAAGGAATGCTAAAAGAAGTCTAATATCGGAAAGGGTACTCTTTTTTGGTGTGCACTAGAGTATGCCAATACTAAACAGATTTCCCTCTTTTCGATAACAGCAACTCTGTCCGTTGGCATGCCAAATCGTATACTTTTCTTCCTCCTGCTTGTGCTTATCATCATACTGATCTGGTCGTCTTCCATCCATAATCTGAATTGACAATCTCAGCACAATTTTATCTCTACTGCAGCACATCGGTAATGGCACGCTTCTGTGCAAATTCACTTGTGCATGCCAGGAATTCAAATCTGCTGTTAGCATGCCTTCAATCATCCCTCGGATGAGGGAGCCATTGATAGCTTTACCAGCGAGTGGTTGTTTTTAGCAAATTGATCTCCTATCCTCGAAATGCTCCCGAGCGCCTTCGCTTGTCGTACAGAGCGAATTTTCACGTTTAGTGAGAAAAATTTGCCGGCGATACCGGTCTTGAACCCCCCCCCCCGCCCCTCGATTTGTATCTCAATATTACTTTACTTGTCTGTGGGGGCGCAGAGGTTTCAAAATGGAGCTTATGCCACCTCGGCTGGCCGAGATTCTGCATTCTGTTGTACGTTAATTGTGATTTCATATTTCCATGTCTTCTTCCTCTATTTAATTTTTAGAACAAAAGAGTTTCTGCAACATTCGTGAGGAGTTGCCCAGCTACTGGAAGCATATTTCAACAGTTGCGATATTTCCATGTCAGGTTATGATGGATTATGACTAGTTTTACTCATTTCAGATTATGAATACGCGTGGCAGCAGGGCTTTGATAATGGAGTTAGCCGATAGTAATGTTGGTGATGAGCTGCACAAATTGGAAAATTTTTTTGGCCTTCCATATCTGATGCTAATACGACTAATCAGTCATCTTGGTAAGTACTATTGAGGAGGAGGGGACTGGGACAGAGTGGAATACAGGTAAGAGAAGGGAGAGGTTAAATTTGTCACAGACGTATGTGGAATTGTTTTCTAGTGGGAAACTTTCAAAGGCAAAAATGATCATACTACTTTTTCTGCTACTAATACATCTTCTGAGGATAGCTCATGATTTGATGTGATATTGACTGGGAAAACGGTTCTTGCATTGATATGAGTAGGGGTAGAACATCTCTTAAGTTGCCGTCGTGAACTATCATTTTTATAGCTTTTTAAGGGGTAATTTACCTGTGTGAACAAGTCACTTGTGTTATTGTAAGTGACTCTTGTTTCGCGACATGGACTGAACAAAACGCACGAGACTCTGTAGGAGCCGTGGCACTTTGCAGAAACAGCATCCCGATCTCCGGCTGAATCGATCACAAAGAGTCTGTCCCCTAATTGGAAAAGAGGACTGTAACTCGGGCTTTGCTCAGCATCTCCAAGTTCGTTTGCGTTACCACGCTAAACACCTGTAAGGGGCATTTATCTCCGTATGCAGTAGAGATTTCAGTGTTACACTTAGATTTTCCAGGTAACTTCAGGTATTTAAATGTTGAATTGATGGTGCATTTTAATTAACAACATAGGTTTGAAATTGTTTTCGCATTTATAAGCACTGATCTTCAATATACTGTTCCTTTCCTGGTTGGTAAGATACAGAGCATCATCGCGGTCTGACAGTGCCAACAGCTCAAGGGTGTGTCGGGAATGCTTAATTTTGCACCCATGGTATCACGAAACGTTTAAGGCCTTGCTAAGTCCTGCTAAGAATTGCTGAGTTATTAAACTCTTCTAGGGATGATACGGAAGTTAGGATTGCTATCAAACTGACCAACAAACGATTCAAGTCAGAGCAGCTGGAAAGATTTCCAGCTGTATGTTTCACAAACCATACTGTGAGTAAGTTGCATCTGATCAAAGTAATTAAACTCAGAATACCTCTCACACATTTTGAGATTTGTTTTTTTTTAGTCGGTGCTTTTATGAGAAAATAAATTTGCTTTATTTCTTCGAATCGTTTTTTTTTTTTTTTTTTCGTCTCACAGCTCGGTTTTTTGTCAGTGTTTTGTTTTTTCACTGATTGATCGTAATTTAGTGCAAGGATTATCTTATTTGAACTCTGAAAAGATTGCTCATCGCGATTTGAAACCAGAAAATATATTGATTTTCAATCAACCAGACGGGTAATTTCTGTTTTTTTTTTGTTGAATAATAGTTGAATCGTTTTAAAATTACATGTTTTGCTGTGTAGTATAACTCGTAAAAGTTATCAAAAAATGTTGGGTTTTTCCGGTTTTGTAAACTCAAGCCTTTTCAGCGTACCGCTAAACAGTCTTTAAATTATGAAAAAAACAAGTTATTCGATTTTTTTTGTTGGTAAAGAAACTGAAACAGGGGGTATATACTGTCCCCTAATGTGGCAGGAAATAGAAAGCAGAGGGTTTTCCGACTGGGTTTTTTTTAACACAGAAAGGAATTTTTCGGGATAAAGGTTTTTTCGCTCAGGATTATCAACAACGTTTCATGTGCTAACAGCTCGTCGCGAGCTAAGACGTCTGAATTTTTTTGAAGTGCACCTTTATGTAAAGCACTGACCGCCTAAGCACTGGGCAGTCAAGTGAAAATCGCGCTGTTATACGCAGCGCATGAGTTTATTATGCCGAAAAAAAAAAGATTTCATTTAGTTTTTTAAATTTTTATTCAGTATTAGATGCTAAATAAGACTTACAAGAGTTATAGATTCTTTTACAGGGGTTGAACATAAAAAACCGCCTTGAAACCCCACTTATTTGTAACTGAAGCCATCAGAAATTGACTAAAATTAATTCCAGTTTTTTACTGTTTTTTTTTTTTTTTTTTATTTTTACCAGTTTTTGCAGGATGAAATTTAAACTTTGTGATTTTGGTGGTTCGAGAATTGTTACAGATAACTGCCAACCATTACATTCCATTTGTGGTACTCCTGGATATTTGGTAAGTTTTCTAGTTTAGTGCTTTTATGTCCCCGCGCCCCCCTTCCGCTCGGCCAGCTCGCTACCCATCGCTCGATCGTTTGATGGCGTAAAGTTTATTTCGTTTTTGGTGCCAGAAATGCATATCAGACTTAAGCAGAATTATAAACGCTTTTCAAAGAGCAGATATTAGCTGATAGTGACCACATCAATGGTCAAAATTCGAAGACCATTTTTGTGAACGATAAAATCTAAAACTGTTTGATGGTCTGTAAGATTTTTTTCCACTTCTCTTCCTCCTGATTCTTCATTTACATCCTTATTTCAAACTAAAACATCTTTTTTTTTGCAGAATGTAAATATAACAGCAAATTTAGCGCATAACACAAAGGCTTTGCCATATACGAAGGATGAATGTGATCTGTGGTCAGTGGGTATTACATTATTCAAATGTGCCACCGGTGTTCTACCATTCATACCAGCTAATGGTAGGCTTGAATTTACGAAATAAAGTTAATCGAGTCACCATGAGGTACCGGTATTTTCATGAAAGATCCCAGTATTGAGTACTAAGAGCAGCAAATGACGATCTGGGCGTGAGCGATTTATTATGCAATGCAAAAACGCATATTGTCGAGGGGTTGCCTGGGTTTGCTCATGTATGCCGATTTTTCATCTCGAGATTTACAAAAGCTACAAGAATGAAAATTTGGGAACTTAATCTATATGCACGTACGGGCCTCAACCCCGAAATGGGCGCTCTTACTCACATGGTTCCCACGTACGAGCCCGTCAAGATTTTTAGCAGGTAATTTGCTAACTCGAGAACCTGAAAAGCTAAAAGACTGGAATTTTGAGGAGATGTTCCACACCGGCGTAGGTCCTAATGAGTTCAGACCCAGTCTTCGGGTATCTTCGCACCGGCAGTCAGTGCGCTGGCCAATTATCTTTTGCAAGTGTTGCAGAAAACCAGCGAAAACCTATGCCTGGGGCGCAGGATCTGTTTTGCAGTAGTAGCCTGGCACGTCACGTCCGAGTATAAAGACGAGTAGTTCGATTCTCTTCCGGTCCATATTTATTTACAGAGATGGACCTCGCTTTTAGAACTGCAAATGATAAATACGTTTCTTTTGAGTGTTTTTTGTTAAAGGATGTGCGGATACAGTTGGTATGCACAGTATGATGATTAATCGGCCGGCCGATGCCATCTGTGGGCATGTCAGTGAAGATGGCAGATTTGTATGGGAGAAAGATTTTCCAAAAGGACGTTGCTTATATCCAAGGTTTCGAATTTTGCATTATTTTGCGGCTTCTTTTGGTTTATTATGATCTTCAGCAGTAAAGGTTATTTTGAACCAATGATAGTGAAGTTCTGGATCACGATCGTTATTTGAAAAAAGTGCGTGCAGAGGGCGTAAAATCACGATCATTCATTTTTTGCATCCGTAAATGGCACAAAGAGAAAAAGATGAAATGGTTTTTGACAATAAAGGTTGAAGTTCAGAATGTTCATACTAGGATTACACTCTCTGTTTTTACATTTAAAGGATGAAACACAGATAGACCAACCTACATAATTTTGGTACATGACTATTCAACATGCCTAAAGGATTGTACCACATTAACTAGTCAACTATGTCCCCCAACACAATTCACTGCCAAATTCTACTCTTCCGACCTTAAAATTTACGGGATTCGACCGTGCTGGGTTTTCTTCGGTTTGTAGGGTCTATTATTTGAGAAGGTATGTTTCGGTGTACTAGCGTCCGCAAAATATCGCTTGATAATTTCGGCTTCTCCGTTCATCCTGTTTGAAATGTCCTATTTTGGTTGGGGCTTCTGTGGCCCTTCAATTCTTTTCTATTTTAGCAGCTGCCCGAAAATGGATGGAGTATTTGGTGTGTCGTAAGCGCATGAAAAAATAAGCTGGATAACCAGACGGGAAACCCGGAACCCATTACTCAGGCTTTAGCAAACTGATGCCAAACTGTTGGATTATCATTGTGGAATACCGGCGTTGTACAGTAGATTGGCCGCACTGCTGTGATAAAGATCGGTTTTGCTTTTCAGAACGTTTCGAAGAGTGCTTCGTGAATTTTTTCGTCGCCTTTTTGATAAACGTGAGGCAACACGGCTGACATTCGAAACATTCGCCGCGATGTGCGAGGAACTGATTGGATTGAGGCGAATTCCCGTTTTCAAGACCAATATAATGCTTTTTGAGGATTACTTTGACACATCCCACGTAAAGCTCTTTGAAAAGTTAGTTTTCAACCTTCATTCAGAACCTTATCATAGCAGATTTCAAAACTGTATAACAAATTCTCGGCAGGCGTGCACAGATGAAAATAGCACGATCATCATGCAGTGGGCCATGGGCTCGACTTGGACGGTGGGACAAACAAATTCTGTGTAATTCGTTCACTGGTTTCGCTGATAAGTTGGGAGCCAGAGAGCGAAATCCGCTAACAGCTTGCTCGTTTGCAGCCCTTGAAAATGGAGGGCTGCTGACGGGCTTTCCAGCGAGAATTCGTACGTGAGGAAAACGTGAATGCTGTTTTCGCGTACGCTTGCTTGAAGACAGCCTCGGGTGACGCTTAGAAAATTCCAGCGCTCTAGCTGCTCTGGTTGCGGAATTATGTGCTGTTGACTTTTGCTGCCACTGGACTATTTCGTAAAACTTGCCGCTTCTCAGTGGATGTGAATACGGAAAGGGTTTTAACACGATAATAATAAGCTATATGAAGTGCAGATTGATATATATATATATATATATATATATATAT